CGCAATTCTGTGCGCCCTCGTTCTTTGTAAGGGGAGGGCGCGGCGCCGTGTCAGAAAGCCACGCGGCGACGCGCTGTAACGCGTACGTGTGGTCGGGCAATAATGGCCTGACACCACGTATTCGCTGCAGCGTGTGAGCGCGCGGCTCTCTGACGTGGTGCCGTGCCCTCTCTCTATGAAGAGAGATGGTGCTACAGTGGCGTTTCCGTGGAGGCAATTTCCCCCTTTTCGGGCAAATTTCGCCTGTCACTTTCAGCCGAAGGGAAAAAAAGGAATTTTCGTGATGTTGCAGGGAGTTTCGGGAACGGTTAAATTCTCGTGTAAGCGCTCACAGTGCACCTTCACCTGCTGTAATCGGTTCTGGTGCATGCACCACGAAACCATATATCCTTTGAGATTTATTTCTGATATTTTCGTGGAGACGTTTCTAGTTCACTATTGGTGTTAGACGTGAAGCCCACAATGTGCAGTGTACTAACAGTATATTTGATTAAATTTATCGTTTCTTCACAATACAGTGTGATATGATTATACGGAAAGAAGCCATTTGAATGGCTTGAGGGAGTCCTTCGCCCCGTCCAAAGACAGCAGCTCCGTTTCAGGCATGTTCTTAACATTGTGACAATTAAACAATGACATTAACACTATATGAATTTATAAATTCATGCTTTTGTTGTGCGGCAGTGGAGGGGCTATAGCCATGATTTTAAAAGTTGCCAGTACCTGAGACGCGTGCTAATATAGCGTATTTGTCTGTAGGCGCCGCAGGATGCGCTCCTCCGTTTTCGAGAGTCCCTTCGCTGGTGCGGGATACAAGCGGCGTTGCTCAATGTAGTATTCTTTGATTTCTCGAAACCGTGTTAAAGGTGTGGGACGTTCAGGTCTATCAGGGAACGGGGAGTTTCCCGGGAAGTAAGCACGCGGGCCGCTGCATGTGCAGCCTCGTTGCCCTGTAGACCCTGATGTCCCGGAGTCCATATAAGACGTTTTGGGGTAGGATCGCGGTTCCTGATGCTGAATTTTAAAAGTCTATTAGCCAATGGAGAGATTTCTCCTGCAATATAGCTCTCGCAGGCTCTTCGAGAGTCTGTAACTATTTGTTTTGAGTTTGGATGGGATACTGCCAGTGCAATGGCCACCTCCTCCGCCTTACTTGAGCTTGTGGCTTTGAAAGTGAGGCCGTCCACCTGCGTTCCTTGATGTATTACCGCCGCCGTGTAGTATACCCTAGGTGACGGCCCGGCCACATCGACGTAATAGACCCCATTACGGGAGCCAAGCCGTTGTTCAAGTGCCTCAGCGCTTGCTTGCCTTCTACCCTGGTGCGCCTCCCTGGTCATATTGCGGGGAAGCGGGGACACCCAGAGTTTTGTTCTCCAAAGTTCTGTAATACGCTCCGCGTTTTCGATTTCGCATTCGTGCCGGATCAAGAGGCGGTCCAGTAGGCGCCGCCCGGGGGGCGTCTGCGTGAGACGCGTATATTGATTTGTGAGGTGGGCTTCTTGGAGCTCTTGTATGGAGTTAAAGACTCCCAATGCAGAGAGTTTCTGATTTGAAGTGCTGATGAGTAAATCAAGTGCGCGCTCAATTACTTTCCTAAGAATAGCATCGACTCTGTTCTCTTCGTGTTTAGTCATTCGTAAGTACGGTATTGAATATAGAATCCCGCTAGTTACAAAAGCATTGGCGAGCCGAATCGCGTCCCTTCCTCGTAGCCCCCCGCGCTTGTTTGACACTCGGCGGATCATGTGCCCCACCTGTTCTCCAATTTTCCGTAGCTTGTCTAGCGTGGTGCTGTTTTTTGTTCTGTTGTGAATCAGAAGGCCAAGGATTCGTAGTTCTGAAACCTCTCGTATTGTTGATCCTGATACCATCAAGTTCAGGGTCGTCCTATCTTTAATGTTTTCTCTGATATGCAGGAATTCAGATTAGGTTGGAGCGCACTGCAACCCACACTGGGCCGCATAGTCCTCCACAATGGAGGCGGCCTGCTGCAGGTGGTCTTCAATTTCTCCTAAACTGCCCCGATTCGTCCAGATTGTTATGTCATCGGCGTATATTGCATGATATATTCCTTCCACTACTGCCAATGCTTGCGGGAGCTTCATCATGGCAATGTTGAATAGCAGCGGAGACAGGACAGCTCCTTGCGGGGTTCCCCGCATCCCCATTTTGAATGGTCCATGTTCCTCGTTATCTATGCGAATGAACGCCAGTCTTTCAGAGAGGAAGTCTCTGATGTAGGCAAATACTTTCTTACCGCAATGGACACTACTCAAGTTCTTCAGGATGCTTTCATGTTTAACGTTGTCGAATGCGCCTTTAAGGTCGAGTGCAAGGATTGCTCTGTCGTTGTGCGTCGAGGGAATGGGTTGGATAATGTCTCGTTTTAGTTCAAAGAGAGAGGGCGCGTCGCTATGCGAAGCTGTGCGTGCTCTCTCTCCACATGAGAGAGCTCGGCGCCGCGTCAAATAGACGCGCCGACGCGCTGCAACGGCTACGTGTGGTCAGGCCTTAAGTGTGGTTAATGATTTAGGCACCCCACCTGCATTGAGTGTCGGCGTGCCTCGTCCGTCGTCAGCGATAAAACACGTACATCGAAAGATATGATCGCTGACAGCATGGCGAAAGGGCGATGAAAGCTCCGAAGTTCGGGCTGCAAAAGGAGAAGCTCATAGCCTCGCCGCTGCTGCTGAAAAGGTATTGTAAGATGAGTACTCTAACTTAAATTGCCTCTGTACAGCATGACGACAAAAAATTTGCTGCACGTATATAGCATCATCTACGAAGTATGACAGGGAATTTATGTGGGCACGAATCGTTAGCCGAAAGCTGGCATCATTGAGGGCTTGCCGCAACGAGCAAAGTCAGCGTCACAACCTCGCGCTACTGTGTGGCTGCGGTCGCTGCGGCGTCGGCTGGCTTCTTCTCTTTGTCTTGAGGAGCTGTGGCTGGCGGGGGTGCGTCATCGTCCTCGGGTTGTTGCCGTTGTTGGTCATTCGCGATTGAAGCCAGCTGAAGTGCTGTCAGGGAACCTAAGCAACATTTTTTTTATTTATTGATACTGCAGCCTCAAGCAGACACTATAGCAGGTGTGAAATATTGATACATGACATTAGAAAAGGGCACAATAGTATACACAGAAAATACATGAAGTGAAAAATACAATGAGTGAGAAACACAATGAAGCAATGGGACTAAAAAAATGAACAAGAACACAATTCAATTCAACAGCAAATAGTAACTGTAAAATGCAAAAAACATAGCAAGAACAAGCTGAATAAACACAAAAGGGAATAAAATTTCAAAGAGAAAATTTGTTGAATAGATAATTGAATCGAACAAGATTATGCAAAAAATAGTGACGAATAAAAAAAAGAGGAGTATACTCAACGGTGCTAAGGAACTACTGCAAGTATTTTTTAAACAAAAAAAGCCAGTCTTGTGTTAAAATAGTGTCGGTTACAGTATTCCAATTAACAACAGTTCAAGAGAGAAAAGAGTACTTAAAGCAGTTATTGCGTGGAAGTAAAGGCGTTCTCGTGAAAGAATGTCTCTGGCTGGCTGTGTAACCCTGAGAATAATTTACAATCTGAGGGCGGTGTATGTTGTAATACCCTTTGACTATTTGGTAAAGTAATTTCAGTAGGCAAATTCTACCTCTATTGCTGAGAGCGACCAAAATCGTTTGATGAGTCAGGTATTTGAGGAACGACCATATGAGTTATATGTGTAACTAACTACTTTTTTGTATTCCTTCGAGTTTGTTGATATTTGTTTCGGCGTATGTATCCCAAATTGGCTCTGCATATTCAAGCATAGAAGATATAATGGACTCGCGTGCAAGGAAACGAACGGAAATAGTTGATAATTTTTAAGAACTGTCTTAGAGTAATTTACGCAATGCCTTATTCGTAACAGGAGCTATATGTTTTGACCTTGATAAACTATTTGTTAACTGTAAACCCAAGTATTTACATCATCGACCTTCGAGAGAGTGTTTCCGTTTGTCGCGTAATGAAATAAAAGTGGTTTATTTTTGTGGGTGGTTCGCGTTAAGACCGTCTTGTCGTAATTATTAGTCGTCTGCAACTGTTCAAACCATGATATGATTATTTTGAAGCTTTCTAATCTGATCCTCAATTGACCTATCTGTTTCATGAATCATTCAGTCGTTTGCATAGAGTTTATCCTAACAATAACATGAGTGGTGATTTCATTTATGAACACTAAAAATAACAGAGGCCGAAGCATGGACCCCCTTGGGATGCAAAAAAAAAAAAAAAAACAACAACTTCTATTCGGCCTGAGCAGGGGCCATTTAGAGAAGCGTATTGGTAATGGTTAATCAGGTAAGCTCTAATTCATGTTGGTAGAGTATGTTTTTTATTATAATAAAATCTAGTTTGTGAAGTAATTTATGTGATACTTCATCGAAGGCCTTGCTAAAATCCACGTATAGAGCATCTGTTTGATATCCTTCATTTGTTGCTTTGGCTAAATCATGCGGGATTCCGAATAATTGTGTACTTGTAGAATAACCGCGTCTAAAGCCATGCTGTGCCACCCGTTAGAATTTTATACTTTTCAAGAAATTCGACTATATGTTTATAAATTATGTGCTCAAAAATTTTACATGAAGTAGATGCTCATGAAATGGGCCGATAATTGGCGATGTTGGATTTATTACCAGACGTTTGATTCTCGTGGCTTTCCAGTCACCCGGCAAGGCACCGTCATTGAGAGATTTTTTTGAAGAATACGAGTAAGTACCTTGCACACCACTCCGCATATTTTTTTTTTAAGAAGGCGTTTGGCCTATCGTATCACTAAGTGTCCAAATAGTAACGTGTCCAAACAATGACAATTAAATAGGAGCTGTGTGTAGTAAAAGTTTCTTTCGCATAATTTCTGCATAAAAAGAGAATACAGAATGGCTGTTCTCATAAAGCTTTTGACTAACATAATTCCAACGTAAACATTCTAATTGAGGTACGCACCTATTCACGAATAACTTCACTGTACGCTTCTATGTGGTGTGATACGGCAGCAGAGGGAGACTGCATTGCACTCTGCAGCCAAACAGGGCCAGATTTTAGTGCGCAGAACGTAGTCAAAAAACACATAATCGCACACGTAATCAGGCACGTTCGCATTGTTCATAGCTAACGTAAGCGCAACAAGTGCACGGTCAGGATTAAGGAATGTATTTTGTGCGGCAGGAAACAAGGTTTGACAGCACATGAGTACATATTTAAATAGCTAACTTCTTACCACACATGTTATTAGGTATAGATGAGTTTCAATCAATCAATCAATCAATCAATCAATCAATCAATCAATCAATCAATCAATCAATCAATCAATCAATCAATCAATAAATAAATAAATAAATCAATCAATAAATCAATCAATCAATCAATGTTTCTTTATTAGTGTCAGAAATGTACCTTGTGAGTAAGTATGCAGTTTCTCTCCACTATATACATATGTTCGCTCGTGTTGATATTTATGCGGTTCCCGTTCGGGAAACCAAAAAGGATACGTATGGGGCGACGCTATTGTCCTCGTAGATGGTGAAGTCGTGGCTCTGACCTACGATGGCGATCGAGACGTTCGCAGTGGTCAGTTTGTCACCGGCGGGAAGGCAGCTGCGCAGCGCCCGCAAACCATGTTGCACCAGCTCCACCAGGTTGCCTGCACACACCACATGACATTAGGCGTAGACGAGATTCTCCTTTGGTGGAAGCAAGTCTTATAATGGGTTGCTTCTCAGCTAACAAAACAAGTTTTATACAATTCGAAACAGCTAACCCCCGTATTCGCAAACGCTCTTTGACTCAACTTTCACCCTTCACTTGACTGAGTAGGGAGCCTACATGAACGGCCGTTTTTAGGGTGATGTCAGCCTTTGACCCACTACATGCCGCCAACGCACCGCCGCCCGCCAAAACACAATGTTGCCAGACAGCAACGCCGCGCTGTCGCCCCATCTTGGTGCCCGCACTGCGTCTACGCCCGGTTGCGTTTAGTTCTCAATAATACGGCGTCGAACGTTGCGGTAGCGTGTTAAACGCTGCCGGTGAAGCCTTAGAATGCCTAGATGCTGCGTACCGCTCTGCACTAACCACAACAAAAAGGGGGTGCGAATGTTCCGCTTCCCAGCGAGCCCTGGCCGACGACAACTATGGCTGGCTCAAGTGAAGCGAGACGGCTGGGAGCCCACCAGTGTGTCTCGTATTTGCTCTGTGAGTACTGCGTATTTCGTTCACAGTTTTTTCCTGCGGCACACGTATGTGTTTCGCGGTGTTCGCGAATGAGTAGATAATCGAAGTTGTCGTTGCTGCGTCCACGCATTGCGAGTAGGAAGCCCACAAACGGGACGCGTCCGCGCGTTCGTACGGAGACGCGCTCGCTAGTCTGAGCTGTTGCCACGCTTGCGTTCGTGTCAGCGTAACCTCAGTATTATGTCGCAAGTGTTTGTGTGTGGGCTGCGAATTTCTTCGTGCGCTCACTTTGAGAACTGGGTCGCTTACACGACCCTGAGAACCGCCGCTGTCACTCGGTCGGCTCATTTTTGTTGCGCCGTACTTCGCGTAGCTGGAGGGAGCGGCGGCTGGCTCCAAAATGGCGGCACACAAAAAACTATGCTGAATTTGGTGGAAGCTGGCAACATCGTGCCCCGTTGCCCGCTGGTTTTGGCTGAGTTTCTTGAAGGCACTTATTAAGATGTCTCCACCATAAAAACGGCCGTTCATGTAGGCTCCCTATGACTGAGTTGAGCAGTGCGCCACTGCTCGGCTGAAAATGACGCTGCGCTACGCAAGAATTGCAGCAGATTATCCTTGATATGCAGTGACTTGCCGTTCTTAGAGATGGCGCTGCCAACGGCTTTCTCAAGTGAAGGTGAAGCGTTGAGTGAAGGAACGTTCTAGAATACGGGGGTAACTCTCCCATCTAGGATTCATCGTACATACACAACTTGAATTCGTCCAAGTGCTCCTCCAGGTATGTGCGGGCCGACTGAGAGTGATCCCCGATGGCCATGGCCTTGCATTCGAGGGTGTCGCCCGTCGGACTGCAGGCTTGGTAGATGTGTGGGCCCAGGTGCTAAGCAAAGAATTACCGCACAATGACTTGAAATGGCGCATGGACAGCACAAGGCAACAGCACTGACTATCAAACCGAAATGCATATGGAGTACGATCCACTGTTAAAAGGAACACTCGAGTGAAAAGGAGTCACTAACTGTTAACCACTAGTGGTTTTGTGCAAGTCTTAAGTCAACATATTTTCTTAAGAAAGCAATATTCGGACATTACCCAGCGTGCAATTGCAAGTGTTCCCTTTAACAGGGAACCCATATGTACATGACAAAATTCCCCCTTTCCTCCCCCTTGCCAAAAAATAAACTGAAGATGCAAATCGTGGAATGACACCGGTGGCTTTCAAAGATGGTCAACGTCTTGGACAAGCAACATTCAACAAAAGGGCTTAAAGAAAAGACGTAACGTTTCGTTAAATGGAGATGTGCAGTCGATCTAACTCTTTTGCAATTCGCTCCCACAAAGAGCGACCGTCTGGGCGGAAATTCGGCCTGTATCCTCGAGATTGGCAACCCACCTTAGCCTAGGAGCTAGCGTGATGGATGTTAAATAGATGCTCACAGCCAATCTCGAATTGTATGCGCGAACTGAAAGTCATTTATTCAAATTGATCGGGGATGTTACACGTAAATAAAAAGGACACATTCCATTTAACCACACAGATCGACTGTTGCTTCGGGATCTCACTGTACAGTGAATGCTTTCTATAAGAGCCTCAAATGAGTTTTTCACTAACAGAAATGAAGATAAATGGCTAAATATTACACTACTTTCTTATTGCCCACTAATGCGAATACAGGTCATGCTTTTATTTAGCGATATATTGAGGCAGACCAGAGGCGAGTGGATATTTGGGCTTGTTGGAGCGATATATTCCTATCGTAAAACGTGGAACTGAAACTTAAATGGGTGCTCGTTTATACGCATGCACAAAGATGAAAGCAGGTGGTTGATTGTTGAATAGGATGCCATACACAAAGGCCAACATTGCGTCAGTATTCCATCATTGCCATTATGTAGAAAAGAATAATCATTTCTTGGTACCTCCACATTTGCGCATGCTTGAGTGACCACAATTTTTATCCGTATGAGTTTGATCCGGCTTCTAATAAGTCACTGTTAAAATTTAGCGCTCGCGAGTGTGCCTTACTCCATCTCTGTCCCGTCCTCGTCTGTCCCGTTTACCGAAACGTCTGCACAGTGAAGTTCTCAACACCTCTTTTTCGAAACTGACACGTTTAGGTAATCCGCCAAGCCACAGGCTATAAAATGTCGAAATGGTCTTCCAGACACAATAGCTAACAGAGAGTTTGAGAATGAAGGACCCAAGACACTGGGTACCCAAGTTGCGTTGGGTAGGCTGCTCTTGCTTTCGGAGGATCAGCATAGTTTGAAAATTGGGTCAAACGCAGACTGCGTTGGGTCCAGCTCAAGTTATGCGAGGCACGGGCCATATCGACGTTACAAAAAGTTGGGACACATGGCACCATACATGGCTTGTGCTGCGTCTGCTTCATCTTGCTGGCGACCTAAGACGTCTTGGGGGCCCACGCTAGTTTTCAATTTTTTAAGCCTTGGTTCAGCACGAACGCAAGAGCCCAAGATTGGCTTGGGTTCTGCACATGTAACCTGGTGGGTCACAACACCTTTGGTACACGGGCTCCTTGGGGCCCCAATTCTCAAGCTCTCTAACGTTAATAATCCCGAGAGTTTTAGCTATAAATTAGGTGCACAATTTAATGGCTAATTTGCATAGCTTATGTGAAACTATCACGTGAACGCTCAATAACTGATTCACAAGCGCATGTACAAATTTCTCCCTGCCAGAATCGTGTAAACTGCATAAGACCTTCAGCACTAACTATACCGTAAAATGGACAATTATCGTACTGTTGGATCCATATGAAACGAAATTCTTATTCTTTTATCAATCTGTAACATTTTGTAACCCTCTTCGCTCAATACTCCACTTAGGGGCCCGTGAGAACCCCGAATGAAAAAAATGAAGAAATGAGTGAAGAAATGGACGAAGACACGTACCTGTTTATCATTAGAGACTACACTTTAATTTTTGTTTTATTTTAATTTATTGTTATTTTCTGGTTTTTGTTTAGTGGTACGAACTGGTATATTGCACGTGTCTGCTTATTTTTGTTTTCTAATATTATTATCGATGTGTACTTATTTCTATTGTTTATCTATATTTACACAACATTTATTATGCTGTTTCGTAGGTCAAATATCCTAAGTGATCCCGCATGCTTCTGTGAAATAAGAGTGCCGCGTGCCTCGAGGCGCCATAGCCAGATCATCAGCTGTGCTCTTTCACTCATGGCGAAGGACATCGAGGGCGCTCCACTCAAAAATGGGTGCTCGAGAGCTTCGCTCTGTAGCGCTAACCACACGTGCGCGTTAAAGCGCGTCTGCGCGCGTCGTGCCCTCTGCCTATTGCGAGAGGAGGATGAGCAGAGGTTGAAGAAAGAAAAGAGGCGATTTTCGCAGCCCTATGGTTGAGAGAAGAGATTCCTTGAATTGAAGGAGGGTGAGGAGCGGGTTTAAATGACGCAGTAACTGTCTCTCAGTCGAGGACACCGTAGTCGTGACACTTGGGGGAGCAGGGGGGAAAAGGTAGGAGAAGAATTAGAGGAGAGTGAGGGGCATGGGTGTGTGGGGGGTGGTGGTGGTAAAACAGAGGACTGTCAGAGCAACTCCCAACGCCTGTAGGGAAGGGGTATGAGGGTATTAAGGAAGTGAAGGAGAAGTCGTGTAACTACGCGCAACTACGTGCTCTCTTCCTCTAAGAAACTCGACGCGATACCGCGTCTACTCGTCGCGCGCTGACGTGTTGTAGTGCGTATTTTAAGTTTGGGCCTAACTGGTTTGTCCCAAGCAACACTTCAGCCCAAATTCGAGCGAGGGCTGCATAGATACGCTAACTTACGTCGTATCCAGCCATCAGGAGACCAACTTTGTAAGGGAGCCGGTCGGAACTCCGAGTGGCAGCGTATATTTCTGTTAGAGGGCAGTCAAGGAGCGAGGGCTAACTATAATCAGAGGGGACGATGCGCCACGATATGTACAATGTTCTTACAAGTTTAAGAGCCTTGGCTCGCCAATAGTCCACATGTGCAATATGTGTATAATATATGTGTGGCTTTAAAGCTTCTAGCCAGTCCTATCATTCCCAAACGTTTCTGATAAGATGTCCCGCAAGTTAAGCTAAAGAGGGAAGGGCGACATGAATAGATACTTGACTTGAATACACACTTCAATTAACCTTCTCGCTTTCACCCATTTTCGTCCGACACGTTGGTATACGTGTAATGGCAACGCATCCTATATTTCTCGGGCCTGTCGGATTATCGGTGGTCACTTGGGAAGCGGCGGTCGTCGGAACTACGGTGGTGGCGCCACTCAACTAGGGGTGTCTTTAAATAGGTTTTTACATTTTTGGAGCTTATAATAAACAAAAACAACCGAAGAAATGTTTTAAAAATGTGTAAAAGTAATTATAATTAACCCTACGTAAGTGATTCCGTCATTCAACAAACAACTTTTTTAATAGAAGGCATCCTCTAAATTTAGTAGCAAACGCTAAAATTGCCGATCTCAAAGGCCAAGTACAAAGACCCTTACCCCTACGTAGGCAGCGCCGTCATAGATGACCGGCGTTTCGCGCTCATACGGCAGGCACGGGAAATCTAGGAGGCGTTGGTAATGGCTACGGCGCTCGGCTGCAGACCCGAAAGTCACGGGTTCAATTTCGGCCGTGGCTGTCGCGTTCTGACGGAGGTAAAATGATATAGAGATGCAAATCCAAGAGAACAGACCTATCGGCTATAGTTGGCTCGTTACGTTCACTGAAGCATTAGCGATGAAACACGGGGACCACAGAAAGAGGACAGATGGTGCACGTACCGTCCCCTTCCTGTGGTCCCTGTTTTTCGGCGATTGTGGTTTCGATGAGCGGAACCATGGAGGACCTTGTACTGTGAGATCCCAGAGCACGTTAAAGAACACCAGACGACCGAGACTTCTGGAACCCTTCACTATACGATAGTTATAGCGCGAGAACAAAACGACGACACACAGACAAGAAGGACACGAAAGACACGAAAGCGCTCGTGTCTTTCGTGTCCTTCTTGTCTCTGTGTCGTCGTTTTGTTCTCGCGCTATAACTATCGTCATGCCATACCAACTAGCCCAAGCTGCCACACCTCCACTATACGCTGTGCCCCATAGTTATATTGTAACGATGTTGAAGGACTCGGGGTGTAATAAAACGTATTTATTAAAAGGCGAACCTTTGCCCACAACTCAAAGCGACTATGGTCCTAGAACGTTACAGCAGAACACCAAAGATGTCTGCCTTTTTCTACTTCAACAAGAGGAGTCCCGAGCGCGTGGGGCACATCAGCCGGGGCCTGCTGGGTTCTCGTGCTATCATCATCGTCTCTGCGCGACACTAGACGGCGCGCATGAATGTCCCTGTGCGCGCGGTGATGGGCGCGTTGTTTGAATGCAGGCAATATGTCGCGGCAATATCACAGTTCTGGCATGTTAAGCCAGATATTGGTATTTGTCTGTTTTGCAAATCATCTTATTGTAAGTGCTAATGTTACGTACAGTGGCGCGCTTAGCTTCACATGTAGGTTTTTCTTACGTGCTGAAAACAACAACAACAACAACAACAACAACAACAACAACAACAACAACAACAACAACAACAACAACAACGCAGCGAGTGCTCGGATGCCCGTTTCGCCATCGCTACATTTAGGCCGCCGAACAGCCCGCAGAGCGAACCGTCGACAAAAAGGATACGGTTTCCGAGAAACGTGGCCAGACCTCCGATGGACAAGGGCGCGTCGTAGTTGGACCGGTGCTTCTGGCACTCGATTCGCATGGAGTCACTCAGAGTCCGGGCGTCAGCCACCGAGCCCGCGAAAGAGACGCCGACGTGTTTGTCGATGGCCACGATTTTTCCTTCGGGAACCGCCAGTACCGAGGCGGCCTCCTTCAGCGCCAGCAGGGCGGCGTTGGCGTCGCTCTTCAGGCCTACGGTGGCTGGGCCGCAATCGACATCCTGCTCGGAGCACTTGACCTGTAGCAAGAGCCCGCCCTTGGGGCTCCAGCCACCCTGCTGGTTCGGGTAGTGCGACGTCTTGAGAAGGCACGAGGAAAGAGAAGAAGTAGATTTACGTGCCACCCAAAACTAATAGGCGATTGTGGGAAGATGCAGATGACAACATACACGCAACTTCTCACCGTGTTTTAAGATGACTTGAGTGTATCATATTGCACACCACGAGCGACGTGCCTCAGTGTGAGCGAATTCCTAATTTCAGTTAAAAGATGCCACTTTTTTCCCCGTCTTTTTTTTCCCTAGAGCCAAGCGGTATGAAGTGAATCAGCGTCCTTGTGTAAATTGAGAAGTTGTGAGCCGTCGCTGTGTACCAGACACGATGACTAACTGTTGTGTAAAGCCAACACAGCTAATAGTCCGACGTAGCGTCGTTAGAAACATTAGAGCGGCGACGTCGATTTCATCGCAATGAAACGTACGTCAATGCGATAAAATGCATATCATAAGCAGCGCTCGTCGGCGTATATGAACAACGCTTTGGTGTAGTCATGTGAGCACATCTGTAATGTTCAGTGTATTCTTATGAAAGCGTGGCGGCTGCATTTTCAATGGAGAAAAAATTGCTTGAAGCCCTTGCACACATTGGTTTACGTGCAAGTTAAAGAACCCTAGGTGGTCTAAAGTTCCGGAGCCCTCCACTATTCGGCGTATCCCATAATCATATAGTGGTTTTGAGATGTTAAAGCCCAGTAATTCATTATTAATATTGCTACATTCATGCTGACTTTTTGTGGGACCATGCGCTTGTGTGCCTGACAAGGAGGACGAAGGGATGTCTCCGCTCGATCGCTGGTGAACCGGTCACGCCTTTATTGCTGGTTTTAAGTACATCTCATCCACAGCCTCGTCGATACGGCGTCGCGTCTTATGCGTAACAATATTGTTCTTTTAAAAGCGGGTAGCCATAGCTGAAAACATAATTGCCGCTGTCCTGACACAACGCCAGAATGAGGTCATCCTTCGAAGCAATGCCGGGGCTGTGAGAAAGTACTAGACTGTCGTGCAAAATACTAGATACCATTGAAGGAGTGTTCCCTGCTTTTTGCTTCCAGTGTTATATAAATTGATGAGAATGCTAATGATTCTGTCATGCGACATCACGATGACGTAAATAATTTTGGTAATCGGTGACGTCATGATCAAGTTATTAATAACTACGCAGCATCATCGCCGCTCGCTTGGAGGCAGTCATGTGGGTATTCAGCTGTGATTGCGAGTAAATTGTATATATATATATATATATATATATATATATATATATATATATATATATATATATATATATATATATATATATATATATATATATATATATATATATATGATTCAAAAAAGAAATTCTGTGGGTCCGGTGCAAATATAATGAAGAATAAAGGAGCACACTTACGAAAATTTGATAATTGTTTACTCTACGTTTCGGCCGTGGCACGGCCTTCGTCAGGATTAACAGAAATACGAGTATGTGGCCGCTTTTATGGGCAGGCATGAACACGTAAGTACAAAACACGTGCGATCAACATGTGAGTGTCACACAAATATATATATATATATATATATATATATATATATATATATATATATATATATATATATATATATATATATATGGTTTATTCACCTATTTTAACGCCGAATTCAATTGTGAAGACTAAGGTAAAAGACCTCTCCCTATTTGTAAACAGTGTGACGTCACTGTGACCACACCGCCCACCATACCCTCTCTCGGAGCAGGTGCTGGTTGGCAAAAAAGTTGCGCCGGCAGCCTCTTTCTGCGTAGCAGAGCAGCGTGTCTACATTTCTTAAGCAGAAATTTCTACATTGCTATGTTCGAAAGTCACAGCTTTTGAAAGAAGGGGGTCGCGGAAGGGTCACTACTCCTAGTGTGGAAATTTGCTCACCATAGATGTATGGATGGAGAAACTTTATTTAGAGTTTTGAGAGACGTGACTGGCCCGCAGTGGGCTTCACCCACGTAGATGCAGCCATAAAAAAATCTGATATTTTTCGAAAGCGAAAGTTCTGAATGTACACGGGGACAGGCACTTAAAGAAATATTTTCATGGCATGGATGTAAGCTTACACAATTTCCATCGTTGCATGTGCAACGCAGTTTTAAACGAGATGCAGCTTTGGCGGCAGCATGGCTTTGAGCTGCTGTGCATGACGGCACGGTTAAGATTCTCACTCATTGCGCAAAATCTGATCAGAGATGAATGAAAAAAAAGAAACACTTCTTGCCGTGCGTTAGGCTGAGGTTAACACATTCTCGTGAAATTAAAATGAAATTCTTCCACTGCGTTTCTCAATTACCGAGTGAAAACTCATGTGATGGGAAACCTGACAACTTAATTATATTATCTGGCACAGTTATCTTGCTGCATTTGACACCTATAACGTGTTTTCGTACCTATCGCCCCTTCATGCCTGATACACAAACTTCTAACGGGCATTGTCACTTCATAAAGATCGAGCCGTAAATGTACAAAATAGATAAGAAACCAAAATCTGGGCTGCTTCCATTAACACATGTCAGGTCTCCGATATTACGAGTTATAGCCGTGGTGAAGCATATATGCAGATTCGGCAACGTTACAAGATGCTTATAGCTCATGTGTAGTCGTATATAAAACCAGGAGATCATGCACTTTTATTTTTCTGCACGCTGCGCATACGATGAGATGTATCCACTCACGGGTGATCGCGTAAAATGTATTGTTACCTTGACTACAATATCAGATCGTAAAGTTACATCAACAATCGGTTACTGAAACCGGCCCACTACGAATACCAGTGTTTTCTCAAACAGGACGCATCGCAATATTCCCACTGCACACACCACGCACAATATTCCCAGTTTCATGGTCCGTAAAGGTGAATCAATATTGTCGATGCCTTTGAACGCTAACTACACGCCACAGTCAACACTGTACATTTTCGAAGACGACGCTGCTGTTCCTCGCACAGGCCGCCACGTGTGTTCACTTCTCCTAGATAAACAGCTAGCCATCGTGGCAAATATTTCATCGCACACTTTACCACATACCAAGCTAATGCTGCCACCGTGAGATGAAGATTAAGTTTTAAAAAACACAAAGAAAACTTGCCCCAATTACTGAGCGACTGTACCCCACTCAGCCCCCGGCGGGAGTGTTTTGCCCACCACCGCTTTGCACGTGCACCGGTGACGTCACGCGGTGACGTACCCCGGTAGAGGTGTATTATTTTTAAAGCAGCCATATAACTACAATATTCAAAACAGCAAAGTCATTCCATAAATATTCTTAAGAAATAGTATTGATCTCTAACAAAGAAACATAACAATTACTTTTAGACGACGACGACGACGACAACAACAACAACAACAACGACAACAACAACAACAACAACAACAACAACAACAACATTTTGTAAACTGAGGCGTTATTGTATACAGTAGCCTATATAGCCTTACAAATACTGTAATTGTAGATTGGAAAACAAGAGTGACGATAGTATTCAAGGGGGGTACTTTTTCAACAGTTGTTTTAAGAAAACTGATATAAAAACACGTCAAACAACCTTCATAAGTAAACATCATCATAAATGTCATGATGAAGATAGCAAAATGACCACTCCATCGTCTCCATCATGTTCTCAAGATACCGTTGATAGTCTCAGGAAACCCTGGACCACATGTATCTTGGTAGTTCGAATAGAACGAGAAACTAGAATAGAACGAGAAACGTTACCTTGTTCTCTCCCGACGTCAAGTTCGTTCCTTCGCGATTTTTTCCTTGATGCTCGTTGTTCTAAAGGTACTACAGAAGTGGGTAGTGTGCCCGGCATCAGTTGGCACGGACCGAGAGGTCGTGATTTTGACTCTCGTTGATGTAACTTTTTTGCTTTTTGATTTTGTTTATCTTTTTGACGTCATTTCCGTGACGAAAATACGTCACCAATATCTTGGTAGACCCCGGCATAAAACAAGTTCGTGTTAAAATATTTGGTATTTTAACATGCGCTATTCGATTCAAGTACAGAATAGAATAGTGCGCTACTCGATTCGTCATTCGAATTTTTCGTATATTCGCACACCCCTGCACACCGGCTCAACACAAGCGCTGTTCGATCTCGAACGTACGAGCGTTACAGGCGCGCCGCGAATACGGACGAGGAACGACAAACCAGATTGGACGAAACAAACGCGTAGAAGCGTCGCAGAGCTGACCAACGCATGGTCAGAGTATCGGCTGCGGCCGATTGCGCCGTTGGGCCCAGCCGGAACTCTGGGTTCCTTCCAGACATCTTCGAAACGGTGACAAGTAGGTAACGCTTGAATACCGCCGAGTGCACTTACCATGGCAAAGTTTAGGCAGAGAACAACGCCGCGTCAGGGGTGTGTTTGGACGAGGTCATGGTGATGATGATGAGGAGGATTATTGAATGATTGACACCTACTGACTAAGAGGAATAGGCGTAGAGTCAGGCGGATCTTAGAGTTGATTTATTATTTTAAAGGGATAATCGGGTTACATATGAAGTTGTAATGAAGAGTTTAATTAGTATCGATACTTATTTGAGCTTACACTACTTTACGTAACCTCCCAATCACCAAACCTCTTTTTATTAGGATGGCAAAATGTGGAATTACTAGCGCTTCATTGAACTGGTAAATCTATTTCTGTGGCTACCATGGTGGTGTCTCTTTTTTTTTTTCACCTCACGTGGCAACACTAATAAAGCTGATGTTAGGATATCATTGGCACTCACCCACTGAGGGGGATCAGCCAAGCTGCTCGATTTCTAAAGAGAGGACTCAACCCTCTATGCAGATTCGTGCTTAACTATGCAACCATAGAATCAGTGCAAAAAGAAAATGCTAAAAAGGTACTCTGTAAGCTAGCAAAATATTAGTGGCTTTTAAGTTTTTTTTTAATCAAATGGAGAGGATAAATCTGTCTTTTTTTGAAAACTATACTACTGAAAGTATAGTATAAATTGGATAGAAGAGCTACTCTTAGTGAGTCATAACTATACACTCCTCACGCAAAATTAGAATTTAATTGAAGTTTCACGCAAACAAAAATTATTATGATCAAAATGTCATCACCAAGAAATTGTTAGCGATTGATGTATCCATGAAATTGATTGGACTCGAGCATCAATTTTTTTTCAGCCCTGTACGTATTCCCGTCTGAGTGTCCAAACACAGAAGCTTCAAATGATGACAACAACACAGTCGAAGTAACTGGCAGACCACGTTGCATTATAACTTAAATTGTTCTTTCAAACGTCGGCAGTACAGCAAAATGTGCTCAATTGTTTCGGCCTCACTTCAAAAAGAAATGTGAAGATCACGAGACCAGCTCGGTGCATGGCCACATTTGGAGTTGGGATTTTGCATCTATCTTTGTAATCGCAGTTTCGATCTTTCTGCCAGTTGTTAAAGGGATACTGAAGTCAACTATTAAGTCGACGTTTATTGTTGAAATGGTGGTCTAGAAACCTCGTAGTGTTACTTTTGTGCTAAGCAAGGGCCTATTTTGAAATTAAATCACGTTTTAGTGGTCCACATCGGGTTAGCGCACTTCAAATTACCCGCCTCAAGAAGCGGATCGACCGGACCGTCTCACGTCACTGTTTCCATGCACAACGTTGCCCGGCTTTACTGTGCTAGTAGCAGCAGACCGAAAGAAGTGGGAACCACAGCAGCAACAACGGCCATTGATCAATTTCTCGCAATCGGTTTCGAGATTGCAGACGCTTTTGTTTCAATAGCACCCCGCTATATGGCATCCACCTGTTCCGTGTACCCACGCGAAAATTAATTTTCGCTCGCGCCATTCCCCATAGTAATGTCCGGTGGTTCTTTTTAGGGGCGAAGCTCCTTATAGCGGCACCCGTTCGTCCCCCCATAGAATGTAACAAGTATAACATTTTGACCTCCAAGGTGGTGCCGGTGAGAGACTTCTGTGCGTTGTTGAACGATAAAAAATAGTGCTCAATGTACATGTCAATAGCTGCTAATGGGAATGAGAGACAAGAGCATTTGGCTTTTAGTTAACGCGCAGGCTGCGATCACCATTAGCAGCCATTGGCATGTACATTGAGCACTATCTGACAAGAAAGGGTTGCTACGTTATACTCGCTGGGTGTAACCTCCTTAGCTTTAGAAAGGTTTAGCGAGCGTTGGGCCGCATAGCCATGAATACAGTGAACTTGTATATACCATGAATGAACTCGAGGTGGTTAAAATGGGAAGTAGATACGAAGCGCAAGCCGTAAGAAAGTAAAAGCCGAATTCTCCGCCTCTCATTTCCCATTAGCAGCCATTGGCATGTACATTGAGCACTATCTGACTGAAAAAGTTTGCTACATCATACTTGCTGGGGAATATATATGGGGAATATATGATGAAAAGATGCGAGATGGTGGTTCTTGGAGTGTTGAATAGATGGACGAACGGACACATAGACAGATGCAGGGATGGACGCATGAACGGACGCAGGGGCGGCTGCATGGACGAACGCAGGGACGGACGGAAGCAAGAACGAATGGACGGACGAATTCTTCGCTCCACTCTCCATCATTCACTCCGTGGATATGCTGCCATTTTTTTTTCCATGAATGAAACAGAAATGAACATGCAGCATTTTATTGTGTCTCTTGATGCACAAAAAAATTCCTTATTTAGAGCAGTTAGATCAATTACTATCGATTAATTGTAGTCGGTCCATCTGATGTCATCGGGATCATTTTTAAAATGTCCTATTGCGGCGCATGTGTTTTTGTACATTTACCTTAATTTTTCAGCCAGTATGGCGCGGTTGTTGATAATGTGGTCGTTTTAGATGTTGTCCTACGTTGAGCTTTCACTCTGACGTAAATTTTTATTTGGCTTTAGTGCCCCTTCAAGGTAAAATTTATTGTTCAGAATGAACTGGCTGAGATTATTTCATATCAATGTGCGATTTACATTCAGAAGAGATCGCCGATAGTAGAGGGACTGGTGTGGACAATTTCGTGCAGCCCATTTCACAACAACTACCGCAGACGGAGCGTAACACGACTGCCTCGCTAACTGGGATACCGCAGTAGGCAGTATGTGGGCGCGTTCCACAACACCCGATGCACGACGGCATACGGTCACGCGTGCTGTCTCGGCAGACATCAGTAGACAACTCTTGCTGTGCTCTCAATGCCAACTTTGCGTTTATAAAAAACTAACGCCACGAAAATGGTTCGGCCTCTGGAGCAGAGATCGGATCCAAAAGTGCCAGATGCTAGGCTTACTTCGTGTAAAACTGGCACTAAGATTTGTTGCTATCGAATGCGTGGCTTCGCCCAGAAGCAAAAGGGAGGTTTTGTTAACGCAACCACTCGTACTACTGATTTTCCAAAATTACACGAAACGCGTGGATAAATAATTAGCAGTGGCTTAGCTCGGCTAAGCCTGAATGTACGTTGCATGAGCTACGGATAGATGAACAGACGGAAAGACAAACAGATAGAGAGATGGAAGAATGGATGGATGGACCGACGGGGTATAGCTCGCGCGAGTCAAGCACCATCCTACTAGTAACACGCCACCCTAGGAGCTTCCAGGCCTTCTCGGGTGCACTAGCTCAATGCCACCTAGATAATTTCAGGTCTGCTCAGTGTTTTCGTCATGGGCTCTGGCGTCACTTCGTTTAGATCGTCGTGTTTCGCTGCACTGACGTGCCAGCGCTTTCTCTCGTCGCTCGGCACTCATAGATTGCCCAGCCTGACGAACGTTATCGTGGCGTGCTTGTCGGTCACTCGAAAAGACCGCGTTTCTTATATCCGTGAACTGCCCCGCCGTGGTGGTCTAGTGGCTAGGGTACTCGGCTGCTGAACCGCCGGTCGCGGTATCGAATCCCGGCTGTGGCGGCGGCATTTCCGATGGAGGCGGAAATTTATGTTGTTGGCCCGTGTGCTTAGATTTATTTGGCTGCACGTTAAAGAACCCCAGGCGGTCGAAATGTCCGGAGCCCTCCACTACAGCGTTTCTCATAATCATATGGTGATATTGGGACGTTAAACCTACCATATAAATCAATTACGTCCATGAACAGCAGCGTCGAAATGTGATGCCCTTTGTGCACTTGATATTCGCAGTGTGTACTGTGAATTCGAACGGTTGGGTGATGCTGCGTGGTGAATTGTCGCGGCAAAGGGACCGGAGTGGTGAGTGTTTTCGTTTCCTAAAGACAACCGAAGAAGGAAACGGCAGCTTGTCATTCGTAGAGCTTACATTAGTCAAGGCAACGCTGTTGCCCTGACGAAGACAAGTCATTTGCCGAAATATTGTTTCCAGCGACGTTTTTTATTGAAAAACTTGTGATCGCTTCAAGCTTCTCTGCGTTTCTGCACTTCAGTCTCGTTTGGTGCTCACGTTCTGTAAGAAAACTATGCCTTCGTCATAAGAAATGTGATTTAGTCAAATACAACGTGTCAGATTCGCGATTGTTGATACTTTCCGTGTTAGTTCGGATATTCTGGGTTCAGTGTTTGCTCATTATGTTCGTGTGTCAGTTGTGATTAAAGCTGCTTTTATAGACTGACACTTTCACACTACGTGTATGCTTGTTTTTTTATACGAAACGTGCAATAAAAAGATAGTTTTATTGTGCTGATTGACTTTCGTCTTGCTGAGAGATCAGTCGGCCTAGCCTGCAGCTTTTCAGAAAAAAAAGAACAAAATCAAAGTAAAAAAAAAAGGTTAAGAAAATTTTCCCAATGGCCGCATCGCCCGAGCGGCCAGCAGCCCTGAAAGAAGACGCGAGCACATTCCGCTTGCCTGCGAAGTGGGAAAGGAGGGCTTCCGCAGCAACCCTCCTGCTCTCGGAGTTTCGTCCTTTCCCTGTATTTCTGGTCGTCACCAGTGACGACATTAAAGACATTTTCTGTTCCTGATTTATTTTTGGTGGGATGCTCGGCAACCGCCAGTGGTCAAATCGGTGCTGCTGCTGCCGAGAGTGAATACATGGGAGGTACAGGGAGTTTCCGCCCCCCCCCCCTCCCCCCGGCGCCACCGCTATCACTGACGTGTTCTGCGTAAAAATGTGCCTTTGCATGCATCGGAGCATTTACACTTATTCTTTAGCGGTCCTGACATTTTCGATAGCATACGTATGACGTCACAAACGAGGCTTGTCCTTGTGCTGGCACTCGAACGTGGTGGTCATCACAAACTTCGCTGCATATGTTATCGCACTCGTTGAACTATTTAAAAAGTTTTTATCGAATTGCGATGCTTATCGATGTGAAGGGCGCTAGTATGC